TCATTACTTTTCATTCAATTCGAGTCGCTTAATCTGGTCTGGAGACGGAGATGGGATAACCATCGAATGGAGGCCATCCAGGCGAAGGCGAGAGCCCTCTGTGCTACGCTTAAAGTCAGGACAGCGAATTGCAATCCATTTTAGCCGCTTCTCATAACTGTTGGCGCCAATAAATTTCAAATAAAGGATAACACGCACAGACAGGCACGCAAGCACGTACGCACACACACACACAGGCAGCCAGGCGTATAAGAGTCCTAGAGTTCATCTTTCTCAGCAAAAATACGGATACACACGGACACGGACACGGAGACATTCCTGCACATGTGGGGAGCGACGAGCTTCAGCGATAAATTCAATGAAAAGTTGTATCTGCAAACGAGTTAAGCTCCGAGCTAATCGCATCGAAACCCATAAACAGCCACCAGTCGTGTGGCAGTGTGGCAACTCTGGCAGCGTCCCAGAGTTGCCTGCTGCTGCAAAGCGTAAATTCAATTTTCTCAAATCGAAAATGTGGTGCGAACTTCCACTTCCGTATCGATAGGGAAGCCCACAAGGACACACACACACACACACATCCTGCCAGTGTTGGGCACGTTCAGTGATGGCTTAACAACTTCTTTATGCTTAGCCTAGCCCTCCCCTCCGCTCCCCCCCGCAACGCCATCGTCATCGCCATCACCATATCGTATCGCCATGGAAATGGCTTCTTGTTGCTTGTCGCGGGTCGCCTCTCCGCTCTCCGCTCTCCCCACTCCTCTCTTGTGGCATGTGCTGGTGCCAAGGGCTGGCAATTTCATTTAAATTTAATTCTGCTTTCTGGCACGTTGTCAGCGGCGTCAGTTTATTCAAATTCTCTGCTGTATCGCACACAAACTGGCATTTGTGCGAGTCAACAAGGAAGAACGAACAAGGAACAAGGAACAAGGACTCCTCTTGCCATAATCAAAATAGATTGCCATATGAAACTATTTGCCAGGCTTTGGATAGATAGTGCCACACTGTGAGAGAGGGGGAGTGGAGTGGAGTGGCGTGGCGTGGAGTGTCGTGTGGCATACGAAACACGCATGCTGTTCTGGGTGCCATCCCCGCCTTGGATGTGACTTCCATTTGATGGCAAACGATATTTGATAGTCCTGTAGACAAAAGGTGGAAAACCTCATTATATGATGCTCGAGCGGAGGCTCCACGCTGAAGGCAAAGAAAGATAATGACGAGGACCCGCATAATTGCCACAACCCCACGATGGGGCACGCACCAAAAGAAAAAAACAATGATACAGATATGGGTCAACTGTTGGACACTAAGATAGAGAAAGTCTTGCCACAGGGCAGGGCAGGGGCGGGGCAGGGGAGGGCAGGGCTTTGACAAATTGCTCGCAATCTATAAGTACGAGCGTGACTGACATGCAAATTGTGATAAATCAGAGGGGTCCTGGTCCTGGTCCTGGTGCGGTCCTTTCTGTGGGCCAACTCGACGGCGACGGCGGTAGAGATCGGGGAAGAGTTGACTGATTCGCTTTTGGCTTTCACTGGCTGCACTCAACGCTCCACTCTGTCTAGCGATTCGATTAAGTTATTACTGGGGCAGGCGGCAGGGGCAGGGGCGGCGGTAGGGGGTGTGGGAGTGTCGGTCAGCTTCATTAAGCCAATGAATTATACGAGCCACACCGCTCACCACTCGCCGCTCCACTCATTTTGTACTCTAATGAAGCGTAATTGAGGCAGTTTCTGCAACATAAACTTGTATGCCACCGACGATGCGTCCAAAGTGTCGCTTTAATCGAATGAAGTGCAGCGACTGCATCTGTATCTGCATCTGCTTGTTTGTCTGCTTATCAATTATGCAATCATCAGCTGGCAGCCATGAATCATCCATGAATCCCCGAATCCAGTCGGCATGGCATGGCATTCTTTTCATCCGAAAACAGAATTTTAATACATCCCCCACTCCCCTTGGGCGTCAGCACATTTGAAGTGTCTAATTAATGCAATTGAAACAAATTCCAGCATGCAAATGCAGTGCAGCACTCTCCCCCGGACCTTTGGGGGCCCGGGCATGCCTCATTAGCCAAAGTGCCATCAACTTTGGGTCGTCTAATTGAATCAACACTAATGGGTAGGACACTGGGAGAGGATTCCATATCAGCAGAGCATCTTCGGCCTCCAAACAGGGCCAAAACTAATTCTGCAAATTGATTAGGAGAGCGGCGGTGCAGTCCGGTGTCCGTCAATCAATCGATTTGCTCTGCCGCGGCCAGTCCCTGCCCGTGTTGCCCCAGAATCCATTAGGGTTTTGATTCGATTTGCCTATTCATTGGGCCGGAGAGCACTTGGCCATGCCACAATTGATACGAATGCTCGTATCGATGGTTTTTCGGGAATGTGCAAGAGCCCGACTATCTGCACATTTTAATTGAACAAATCTATGGATTATTTACTGGTCTTTTGTGCCATAATGGCACAATATGGTAAACGCAAAACACAGTGCTGCAAAATGTGGCTGCAACCAGGGCGGGGGATCCTGATGATGGGGGCTCTTCGGCCAAGCTCTTTGGTGTGATGATGGATTGGTGGGATATTATCTGTTACTGAGCCAGCAAAGCCAATAAACGGCCTTTTCTCTGGTCTTGTCCGGGCTCTAAGGGCTTTCTGCTCCACCTGCGCCATGCCTGGACTCCACCTGTTGGCATTTCTGCAGTTGAACAGATCAGAAACACAATTATAGACAAACTCCAATCAATATCCGATTTCGACGCAGCCCGAGCTCGAAGCTCTGGCCAAATTCCATCAATCATTCAATAGACGCCGCATGACACAGCCGCTCCAGCTGTGACTGGGCTGCCGCTGCCGCTGCTGCTTCCAACCAAAGCATCTTGTATCTGTGTCTGTATCTGTATCTCTATCTGAGGCTCTACTCGTGAGTCTGTGCGTGTGTGTGTGCTTGTATATGCATCAATTAAGCTTTTATTCTAACATAACAATTTTGAATGTGGCCGAAACCAGTTTCGAGTGGTGCCCCACAAGCCACGGGCCTACGCAAGTCTATCTGCTGGATACTTGGGGCCAAGAGAAGCCAAAACAAACAGCGGCTCGCACTCAGATTCCAAATGTCAACGTCATCGATGGGGGCATGCGAGCCCCGCGAATGCCGCTCCACGCATCCATGCAAATCCAGCACGTTCCGACCAGCTGTGCAAACACAGAGCCAATATATGGATGGATTGAATTCAACAAAGGACTGTTGATATTTTGATGGCTACGCCACAAATCAGACGCATTAGCCGCATGGCACGAGACACTCGGGGGGCATTCAAATGCTAATTAAACAGATTCAGAACAAGTTTGCCTGCCAAACCGGCCGGCTGACTGCGATTGACTGAGGTTAGTTCAGAGCAGGCCTCAAGGTGTCTCTAGGAACGATTCAGGGGAAGCCACAGAGGGCACCTCTTCGGGGCCCAACGCCTTGACTCCTTGACAGAGCCACAAAAATGATCGTTCCTCTCTGTCTCTCTGCCTCTCTTAGGCAAATAGCAGGAAGGTGAGCCAAAGAAACCGGCTTGGCCGACAGGTTGAGGTTGGATCCCCGTCCGGGGCCAGCAAGGATGATGCCCAGCCCCGGCCCCAGCCCCAGCCCCAGCCCAAGAGTGGCTTGGCCTGGCCAAGACAGCTGCAAAACCGCCATGAAGCGACCGCAGTGTGCCGGGGTGCTAACAAACTCATTTCGTAGCAGCCGCAGAAGCAGAGGCAGAATGGGTAAAGGTTCACTTCGGAGACTAACCGAGAAAGAAAGAGAGTGAGTGAGTCAGACTGGGAGCGGGAGCGGGAGAGACAGAGACAGGGAAGAGACCAACTGGTAGCCAGAGAAAACCAGTCTTGCAACCACTTTTCAGCTACTTGCAACCGCCAGACCTGAAATGGACTTGCCTCTTCCAACTGCAACAGCAGCAACAACAACAGCAGCAGCAGCATTCCAACTAGAAATGTGAATGTGAAAATGTATCTTCTGCCGAGACAATTATGATTACGATTATCGCTCGCAAAGCGGGCTAATGGCCCCGAAAAATATCTTAATAAATTGGCAATCCGACAAAATCGTCGACTGAATAATGTATCCAGCAGATACGTTTGCCCCGGCTCGCTGGAATATTTATGTAGCCAGACAAAGGCACAGATACAAACACACACACACTCGCACACTCTGGCACAGGCACAGCCATGGACATGGACATGGACACAAAAAGGGGAGACCAGTGTGAATGCAGAGAAAACAAAGCACTTGCAATGCTCAGATACATTTGTATCTCGTGCGAGCGTTTGATTCAGATTCACATTCCGAATTCGGTTATGTTTTGGCCCCACTCTCTCTCTCTCTCTCTCTCTCTCTCTCCCTCTCCCTCTCTCTCTGTCTCTGTGGCCTCTCTTTCTGTGTTTGCTCCCCACACTTTAATGTGACTTTTATGCGCTTCCTTCTTTTGTTGTCTCATTTCGTATTCAGTTTTATGTTTGTTTTGTGTTCCCCGACCCTATGCCCCCGCCCCTCCCTCCGCAACAGTTGCAACCCTGGCTCTAGCCGCGTTCAAACGCTCAGCGCTCAGCGTTCAATGTGTGAACTGTTCGGGCCAACCGTTTGGGCCCGGCTAATTGGCAGTGGCTGAGGGAAAGACTTTGAGACCTTTTGTGTTGCGGGCCTGGGATAAGCTTGGACTGAATCGGAACCGTTTAATGGGGAAGCCCTAGAAGAGGTCGAGTGCAGGACGCCAAATCGGGGGCACAGCAGGCGCAGATCTAAGAAATCCAAGAAAAATCCAAAAGATACCCTGAAACGACGCTCTGCGCCTTCCTTCCCGGTGAACGACACCTGTCATATGTCACACACAATGCCAATTAGAATGCAACAACATGGCGCCCACACAGGCACAAAAACACAGACACACAATCACGACACACACCGATGATACATACTGAAACATATCCTCGTGTTAACGGTTTAAAACTCACTTTTCGTTTGCCTTTTGTTGCCTCGTGTTGCAACGCGTCGGTTGTCGGCCAGTAATCCGCTTTAGAGGCCTCCTCCTGCCACAGCACATGCAACAAGGCCGCAGTCGGGCATGTTTAAATATTTACGATCTGGCATTTAACATTATATCTTTTCCGCTTAACTTATTTGTTGTATTTTTTCATTTTGTGTATTTATTACGGATACAACGATACAATACTCGATGTAGTATTTCCTTTTTTAATTCACTTTTGCACCAGGACTTCCACTTCCCCGCGCAGACTGTAAATTATTCTAGCGGGAGGCTGCCGGGAGGGTGGGGTGGTACTGGGACGGGCTGGAAAAGCCAACGCACTTTTCGTACCCAAAACGTGCACACCGCGCGCGCGAAAAAAACACTCAGCTAAGAGCCAAGAGAGGGCTGCTGGCTAACAAAACCGGTAATTTCGATGGCGGTGGATAATAGCTGGTTTTTGCCTTTGCTTCTGCCTTTGCTTTTGCCTTTGCCTTTGCTTTTGGTTTTGCGCTTCGACGATGCGCACGCGTAGCTCCAAGCGAAGGAGGAATTTGTTTAACGATAGCAAAATGCGACACGACACTGTATGGATGTTTTCTTGTCCGCTGGGTCCAAAAGATTGAAGTGAGCCGAGCAAGGCCGTGCATTTTCCACGCGCCCGATTGGGCCGGCCATCGCAAATGTTGCTGGCGATGTTGCCGTACTCATGTTGCTTGCAAACCGGTTGCAGGCAGCGGACCGAGAGAGTGGCTTTGGATGGGACTGATATTTGTACGAGCTTCGGCTGACTTCGGATACATTTCTCACTGAGAGAGAGACAGGAGAGAGAGAGAGTGTGTGTGTGTGTGGTGGAATCGCATCTCACCACTTTGGGAGTTTTGCGGAAAGAGCTAGACAAAGAGCGAGCAGGAGCCAAGACACTGGTGCCAGCGAAGGGGGAGAGGGCCCTACCTCACATTATTACACCCTGTATGCGGCGGTGTGCGTGCATGTGTGTTGTGCAGGGTGGGTTTCTGTGTTGCTGCAACATTGCTGCTATCCTGCCGCAACATCACATCCCCATGTTGTTGTCAATTAATTCCGAAAAACTAATTCCAAATTAGTACTTTTGAACATGAAAGAATGGCTTAAGAAATCCTTTTATCGTTTCCTTATATCTTATATATTATATAATCTAAAACCCATGAAATCTTGCAAAAGCTTTCCGAAACCCGAAAAGGTTTCAAAAGATCGTTGCTCTAGAGTTCTAGCGTACTACTGCTCGAAAGCCAGGTGTTCAAGCAGCGAAAAAGCACCGCTTTCGGTGTGATATCAGCGGAGTCTTCACGAAGGAGATGGACAGACGGACAGACTGACCAACGGACAATGCGGCGGTAAATATTCGATATACCAGCTTATAGTAACAAAAAATCCAATGATGGACGGCACTTTATGAAAAAATTGTTTGCAGAAAGCAATATGTTTGCCTTTTTTGTATCGGCTAAAAATTCAATTAAAAAAGAACCATGTCCGACCGCCAAATAGTTCTGTCGCGTAAATTCTCAATGAATCGCAGTCCGCCGTAAATTCACAATAAGTTATTTTTTTTCAAAGTTTTCGTCCGTCAACACTCCGGGATTTGCTGAAACTAATATGAAACTCAGTGGCCAATGTGCTCATATGGACTCGTATGTTCAAAGGTTTTTGTTGACATTTTGGGGAAATATCTGTTCATTATTCATTAATTTGTTGTTGTTTAAGCGTTGCATTCTTTGAGCGTTGGCTTTTTTTGCTTTGTTAATTGCCTTTTCAAAATAAATTTGCACTCCATTTCGATTTTTAGACTATTCACGAGCACGGTAACAGGGTCGTGGCCGAAAGTGCATTAAATTAGCTTTAAACAAAAATTTAAATTTAAATTTAATCAAAATCAAAATTAAAGCATCTCCAGATTTAGCTTATCGAAGGTCCAGGGTCCTTTTCATAAAGGGCAAATGTCAATCGGGCAACGTAATCGAAGCAATTAATGGCACATTACCCAGCAAAACGATTTGCCACAAGTCCCAAAACTATTTAGACATCCCCACACGTGCTCCACTTGACGTTCGATTGGACTTCAGTTTCCCAAATTATACAAAGTATTTAATGCAACTTGGCACCCACATTAGCAGCACCCACACGCCAGAAGGCAAGCCCCAACCGGACACACTCTTGGCCAGCAGCAACAAAAGCAACAACAGCAACAACAGCAACAGCTGTAACAGATTGTAATGCAAATGGAGATGTGGGGAATGTGTGCGGCAAGGAGTAAGCACTCACCGGCCACAAGGCAGAGCCTGTGTGTCTGTAGGTGTTGGCCAAGACACAGCATTGGGCCACTGACCAGGCTCCTTGCATGCAATTGACATTGGTCCTGGCGTTTGATTAATTGCTCTTGGCTGAGGCCTTTCCAAGCCATTGACTCGGAATGCTCCGCATGTGCTCATAGATCTGTATCTGTATCTGTTTCTGTATCTGAGCCTGTATCAATTTGTATCTCTGTTCTCTTTGTGTTTGTGGGGCAATAAATTGGACATGTTCGACATGCTTTCCAATTACTTGCGCTGGCATTAAACAAATGCAATCCTCTTGACACACGTCGAAAGTTGGAACCGCTTCCCGGCGTCTACTGCCAAGCAGGACGAGCTGCCAAGGAGCCAAAGGAGCACGGAACACGGAGCACGGAGCGCAGAGACGCTCCACTTGTCCCTGCATTTGGTTTATGCAACTGTCGCCTGCAAGCGATAGAAAAACTCACACAAAAAGAGGGAGGCAGGTCCTGCCGCTTCAATGAACCTCAATGGCCGCCGGGCGAACCAAGAAACATAACTCAAGAATGCAAAGGACGAGGCGAGCGAAAAGCGCAAGCAAAGGACGTCCACATCCTGCCTCAGCCAAGCCACCATCTTCAGAGGAACAAGTTAAGCGCTCCACAAGCGCAGCGTGGCCCATGCATAGTTTATGATACCGGATCCCGTGTCCCCTATCCCTTATCCCCCATCCCGGCACAGCTCCCGCCTCTCCCACTCACACTATCTATGCATTTCTCTGAATTAAACCAACTGCACAAAATGTCGCAGATAATTCAATGCACCTACACAGAGCATTTTTATAGCCCTCGTCCTGGACCGAACCACAACCCAGCCCCATCCTCATCCGTGGACGGAGCTCTCGACTCCTTGGCAGTCGAAAAGTGCCACGAGGGTAATTTAAAAATCCATTTGTGTTTTGAGATTTCGTCGGCAGGGAGAGACACCAGGCCGGGCGGGGCGCTGGGCAACAATTGCGGTGCCAACCGCCGGGAAACAACCAGAGGGAAATCGGGTGCCGCGTGGAAAGCTGAAAATGGAAAATGCGAACGGCGAACGTCGAACGTCGCTTGGCTGACTAGATGACGGCCAGACCTGACTGCGTGACACAATTTCAATTTGCATTGACAGCATGAATTATAGGAAATAATCCCCGAAGGAAAATGCGATTTTAGCGATGCTCCCAGCTCTGGCCTCCAGGTCCAGGTCCAGGTCCAGGTCCCGCTCCTGCCCCTGCTCCTTCTGTCAACCGTTTTGGCACTGACCCGCGTGGACATCCAGCTGTTATTGATATGGAAATGATGCGCCACGCCGCCCAAACTAGGGAGGGAACAGCGCAGGGGAAAGACCCGAAAGACTTGCAGTAATTCAAGTAAAAAAGAGCTCACGAAATAAAAGGAGATCAAATTTAAATTTCATGCGGCGCCAGAACAGATAATTTTGCCGAGCAGGACAGATGGAGAGGCAGTGAAAGATAGAAAGAGAGAAGGGGAGAGTAGAAACTCAATTGCTTGTTGAAAAGGCTAATGAGGAATGACTGGAAATAAGATGTTATGCATATATTCGTACAAATTTATTTTTAAATGTCACACGTTATTTACTAAAGGTAATTGCAAGAAAAATGAGGAAATATGAAAATCCTACGGTAAATGTGAGAATAAATCAAGAAAAGCAGTATTAAGAGAAAGACTCACCTGTTCGCATAATGCTGTAGCGTTGAATATGTTTCATTTTCCATTTCCTTTTGATGTCTTGTGGTTTTCTTTGTAGTCTTCATTTGATTTGCTGTTTCCTTGCATTGGGTTGTTGTTGTTTAATGATTTTTCACGCACACACACACACAAAACAAACACTAGCACTATTCAATCGATCACAGATTTATTCCCAAGAACAGAAACACACAAAAAACAAACAAATTTCCTTCTACTGCGTTGTTTGAAACGAAGAAATTGATTGCATTTATTATATTTGCACAAGAACAAAATAATTTGGCAACTTAATCGTTTGAACCGCTTTGAGTGGGACCGACCGAGAGGAACTGAGAAAGCTGCGATAAGAGTGCATGCGTATTCAGCCCAAAAGCTCTGCTTAGAAAAAAGCCTTGGAGAGCGAAAGCCGAACAAAAGCTTAGGGAGTTCTGCTAACTCTCTTTCGGGTCTTTCGGTTTGATCAAAGAAAGAAGAACGAAGTTTGCTGTTGTACTGAGCCAAAAAAGACCCGAAGAGACAGCGCGTAATTTCAGCAGCGTAGGCGAGTCAAAGCTCCTCTCTAGTGTACATAATATGAGCAGGTGATCTCTCTCGCTGTAAGCTCGCTCTCTAAATCACATGCCTCTGTAACGACTATACAGAATTTGTTCTTTCTCTGTTAACGCGCTGCTAACTGCAGAGATCTGCCATGTGTTAAATAAATTATGTATGTATGTAGCCTTATACATACATATGTATGTACATCTATGAAAATAGGTTATGTAGAGTGTTCTCTTTTTGTTTTTCCCTTTGATTTCGATCAGTGCCTCTCATTGCTTCATCCACGCCACGAACGGTCTCCAATTAGACACTTGAAATCCTATGTAGTGTCTTTTGGTCTTAAAGTTAAGGTGCTATTGTGATCCATTTATATTTGTGTATGCAAAAGTGTTCATATGTACGTCCATACACACATCCATTCACATCCTTTGCGAATGAACCAAAGGGATTACCACTTCCCGGGGACTCCACTAACTAACCAACATTCACCGCTAACAGCTACCCATACCATCTACCAGCCCCCTGGCTCTTGCA